AGAATGATCCAAGATGCACTTGCTTGCTACAGAGAAATTTATCATGAAAAGAAAAAGCAAACTGTACAGTCTAAATTGGACATCTAATTTAAGAAGTCCCCCAGTGACGTCTCCTCACGCCCCACCAGTGCTGCCTCTTCACTCCCTCAAGATGATCCAATACCTTCAACCAGCAAGTTTCCACAGTACATAAACCTGTCTGAAGAAAGCGACATTGATGACCCACCCAGCCCTGTCTCCTCCTCTGCTTCATCCAATTAATATAGTCTCCATGTATCCTGTAAATAGAAAATTATGGGGGCCCTTGTGCATTCAGCTGACAACATTAAAGGTAAGTGCTGTCACACTGTATCCATTCTTCATTATTCATTATTTTTACTGTACTGTATTTCATTGTAGATTTTTTACTGTATTTATTTTTTTTTATTTGATTTTTTTTTTCTATGTCGGACTTACAACCAATCGGACTTACGACCTGGATTTGGGTCCCTAACCCCGTCGTAAGTCGGGGAGTACCTGTAATGTTTATCTCTCTCTAATTAGCTAGAAATCACTGCATTTTTTTTTTTTTTTACCAGAGCCCTGAAGCACTGATTGAGTTTATAGTAGATTCGTCGATACCGCTGCCACCATTGATTTAGCTGTGGTGAGATATCAAAGCTATCACACTTGCTAGCACTTGTTTGAACTAGCTGTTGTTCCATCGCTGGTACCTTTGATGCAGCTGAGTGACATATTTGGTAATCCCACGGCTCGTCACCTTTGATACAGTCGTAGATTGGTTGATAGTTGGAATCGTCAACAGCTGTCCACCGTTATACTTGTAGTTAGCTTGTAAGTTACACAAGTCACATGTAGTTTTCTGTTCACTCATTGTTCCTTGGTTTAATATAAACACTCATGGTCATTTTCTAGTTCTATGAATTGAATTGAAACAGTTTATTTAGCCAGAAAAACACAGATACAGAGTGGATAATAATAACAATATTAATATGGCTGAGCCAGTTGAGAGCCTGAGCTCTCTTGTAGGCACCTGATATATACTGTACATTTATCTCAAGGAAGTATTTTGTAACATTTAGTATCATCTGGAATAGTACATATAGCATGGTGGTGGAAGTATCTCCCCCCAACCATATGCGAGTACACTCTCTGCGTTGTTGTTGTTTTTTGTTTTTTTTTATAAGTCAAGCACACACAGTTGAATGCACGTAAGTTATATACGTGTAAGATGCGACACGACTGTATTTAATTTAGCTACCAATTACCTTTTCCACCCCAGTACACCATCAACCTCAAAGGCGGGATAGGGTGCTAGAGTTGACCTCTGGATGCAGTTGATGCTTCTACACCAAGCCATGTGATCTGTTCATTATTTTGGCTCTGATTACTGACAGCTTATACACTTAGAGTTTCTGCTAAAACACTGAAGAGCTGTATAGGAAAAGGGGGGTTACTGTAATGAGTCTTTGATGCTCTCCTCACCTTTATAGAAAACAAACAAGTCAAGTGACTTAGAGATACAAAGTCAGTTTTTTCTCTTTAAGACTCTATAGTATCACCACTTCCCTTTTGTATTGCTGGTTTTGTATTACTGCATCAACTTGACTTAACAACACTGGCTAGAAGTAAGGGATTTATCCTGAAATACCAATTTGCTGTGGAGCTTGAACTTGTAGCCAGCCACAACAGATACCCTCCCTCCTTGCATAGTTCTGTAACCAGCCAACACAGACACCTTCATTCCTCTTGTAGTTCAATGATCAGTCAGCTGAAGCTGAAATCAAGATGCTGGGCTGCACCTTTAATGTGTTGTTTGAGCTAATTAGACTATTATTGGTGAAAAAAATCTTGGCCCAGGGGGCAACTGTAATATAAATTTCTCCTCAGTTGTGGCAGATAATGTGATGGAAAGGGAAGGGTGATTGATGTATATACAGTACAGGACTACAGTACAGTACAGTACAGTATACAGTGAACCCTCACCTTACGCGGTCAATTGAACCCACGGAGGCCCGCGTAAAGCGAGAAATGCGTAAAGTGAACAACATAACATATGGGATTAAATGACCCCGGCTGACCCCCAAACTCCACTTTTTCCGACACAATACCTATGTTCTAGTAAAAATAACATCTTAATTTTATGATGGTACATGCACACAATTAATACTTAGAGAAATAGAGAAATACAGTCGCCAAGTTAATGTCCATTCAAATAATGGACTCGACTCCCTCCCCCTCTTCTCACACTACACTCGCTGGCTCTTCCCTCTCGGAGAAATTTTTTGGGGAAAACCACTAGATTTTAAGGTATAGTAATAAATAATACCTCAAACTAAAGTTAGGATAATATAATTGACATTGCTGGATTCCTTGTAAGACCAGGAATATTTTGAATATAAATGTCATATATTTTGCACAAAAGATAACATATTTACTCAGAGTAAACAAAATACTTACATTAGATCTAAAATTTGTATGTCTAATGCAAAATCTATGATGTTTATATTCAAAATGATCATCAAATTGTAAGAATTCCAGCAATGTAAATTATATTCTGGCCGGGTAATTTGTATGAATTTTATGAGCTAAAACAAATATCTTCAGTTAATAAAAAAAATATTCTTCACGACACTATCTGTCAATCAAAGTACCCCAACTTGCCTCCCCCACTCTTCCAACCGCGCCAGATGGTCGGGCGTTCCCAACCCTCCCCCTCACCCCCCACCTTCCCTCCCTACCAGAGAAATGTTGGGTGAAAAAACTAGATTTTAACTTTTAGTAATAAATAATACCTCAGACTAAAGTTAGGATAATATAATTGACATTGCTGGATTCCTTGCAAGACCAGGAATATTTTGAATATACACATTCATATATTTTGCACAAAAGATAACATATTTGCTCTGAGTAAACAAAATACTTGCATTAGATCTAAAATTTGTATGTCTAATGCAAAATCTATGATGCTTATATTCAAAATGATCATCAAATTGTAAGAATTCCAGCAATGTAAATTATATTCTGGCCGGGTAATTTGTATGAATTTTATGAGCTAAATAAAAAAATTATACTTCTCCTGCGTATATGAGTAGATGCACCGCGTACAGTGTGTGTGCATAAAGTGAGGGTTCACTGTATATATATATATATATATATATATATATATATATATATATATATATATATATATATATATATATATATATATATATATATATATATATATATATATATATATATATATATATATATATAGTCGACCCTCGTTAATTCGGACCCCTTTAATCCGGATTTCGGAAAATTCGGACAAAATCTGAACGAACTTTTATTTATTTATTTTTTTTTAAGATTTTTAGGAATATTACCTATGCGGACCTTAAGCTAAAATGCTGGTCCACCCACTGCTGGGATAAAACACCAGCGTCTTTTTGGTTAAATGTAACATCTCCACCACTAGTGTGGGGGGGGGATGCAACTTTTAGCTTCAGACATGAAAAATATTTACCATTTACTGCCAGTAAACAATGGAAACGTAAAATATGTACCAATTAGTAATGAAAAGTTGTGCAGTTTCTTCAGCAAATGAAGCTCACCAACTTACAATAGGCTAAATTACCTTACAACGTGTTTTCAGTAGTCTATGTTGAAGTTCTTAGCACAGGCTAACTTATCATATCATATACGGTATAACAGTTCTCATTGATCTACAAAAAATACAGGTAATAAAAACCTTTTTGATATTTCACACTTAATATAATACCTGGTAATCTACTTCAACCTCCTATTGTTTACAACGATGCATGATGCACCACCAGCTGTTGAGTATCAGCTAGACGGCACACATGCTTTTCAAATCGTTTTCAGTTAAAAAACTGTTCCATCACATGTATATTTTACCTTAACTGTGCCTGAATGAATATATTCTCAGAAATAAATAGTAGTTTTGCTGAAACGTGATGTATTTTAATGTAAAATAGGATAAAATACATGACGAAAACAAAAGATTTTACCTAACCTTCCGATGTTCAAGAGAAGTTACTCGTTTTTTTTTAATAGTTTTTGGTTAAAATACTGTTATATTACAATGGTATTCTATTCATACTGTGCTTGATATAATGCATTCACGGAAATGTAATATATTTGCTGAAATGACGTACGTATTACAGTGGAAAGTGGGATAAAATCGTGACGAAAACAATGACTTTCGCTTTCTTTCGTTCAAAAGATGTTACCGTAATCACTTTTCGATTGGTTTTCAGTTACAAAACTGTTGTATTACAATAATATTCTATCCTAATTGACTTGAATAAATACTACGATACCATATTTCTCAATATTTTCATTAAAATCCATCCAAATCATTTTCCTTGTCATCGCCTGCAGCACCAAACAGCTTCTCCCAGTCCTCTCCTTGAACAGGGCTAGAGGGTACGTGTTTTTCAAATCGTTTTCAGTTAAAAAACTGTTACATCACACGTATATTTTACCTAAACTGCGCCTGAATGAATATATTCTCGGAAATAGACAGTAGTTTTGCTGAAATGTGATGTATTTCAATGTAAAATAGGATAAAATACATGACGAAAACAAAAGACTTTACCTAAGCTTCCGATGTTCTTGAGATGTTATTCATTTTTTGACTAGTTTTCGGTTAAAATACTGTTATATTACAATGATATTATATTCATACTGTGCTTGATATAATACATTCACGGAAATGTAATATTTTTGCTGAAATGACGTACGTATTACAGTGGAAAGTGGGATAAAATCGTGACGAAAACAAAGACTTTGAAATATAATGCAATATTAACCCCTAAATTGGTTAATTCGGACAATCGGCTAAAACGGACACCCTTCCCTCCCTATTAGTCCGAATTAACGAGGGTCGACTGTAATTAATTTGTATTACAAAAGTTACATTGCTACACACATGCACTGCTAGAAAGTAGTATTTCAGGTTCACTCCCCATTAATATATATCTTCTCCTCAACAGATAAAAACTATGACAGAAGAGCAAGGATTGTCAGTGATGGATTTGCTGAAGCCTCAAATACCACTAACCAGTCTGGGGATGGAGGTTGTAGGCAAGAACTCTTCAAGAGATCTTCCACTACAAGAAGATGTTGCTCCACATTTTATGCTTAAGAAAAATACTAAGGACACCTTTTCATATTTTGGAATTGATTTAGACAAAGAAAATGCTTTCTTAGAGACTATTCCCCTAAGGAACGCTATTTTATCTTTAAATTGTATAAACAAAAATTTCACATCAGCATCTAGCAGTACTAGTCCATCTAAGGAATTAAAACAGAGACATGTTTTAGCCAGGCTCCCTGTTGAAAATCCAGAAAAACTAATAAATCATATAATTCAAAATGATAACATTAAAATACCAAAGAAGGTGTTGACTAAAATGGTGTTATCCTTATCTCCATCCAAGGGCTTAATTCTGCCAAGTGTACATGAGGCAAAAACACCTGAAAAGTTTTATAATGGCAATGATATTTTAGATTGTCATTCATCACCTTGGCCTCACCTGGATGAAGATCAATATCACTCACTCAGGCCAGACAGAAGTCCTAAAAAATGTAGTGGGAATGGAATGTATAATAAGATGCAATCCCCCAAACCATCATTTGTCGTTAACCAACAGAATCAAGAGAAATTGTTGGAATGTAAACACCAAGATGCCGATGTATCATCATTAATTATACAAAACCAAAATAGATCAGATGGAATCAAGAGTGCAAGTAAAGACAAAACATTGAATATATTGCAGCATATTGATGATGAGGAACCCAGCCAAAATGAAGTACCCTCATTTAGTGTGGTGTTTCCAAGTGGGTCTGCAGATTCTGTGGTGGTAAGTGCAGATGATGGTACGATGGGAAATATTGCTTCAAGTACAGAAACAAAGGATTGCAGTTCAAACACCCTTCTTCAGCAGGGTCATGCAGCTGTCACTGACTTGAATAAGAATCTAAAACACAATTGTTCGTCTATTAATCTAAACGGAAATGTATCATCTAAACAAACTCTGAATGTGGGCAAAATACCACGAGAGGGTTCTGTCACTGACAGTGTACACATGAAGACAAATGATTCAACTGTAAATGATGTAACCCAAGACATGACAGATGAAGAAGACTTAAATCAGTCTATGTGCAATATGTCAGTGCATGAAAAATTCAACCTTACCAATGATTCAAATAAGACTGACATATTTATCGTATTAGATGAAACAGTAGATGATGATTCCAATAATAGTACAAATGAAATCACCAAGAAAAAACATGATGACTCACTTGATAACAATTCAAAAATGATTTTTCTGTATAACAAGGAGGAAGTTCCATGTTTCAGTAAATCTCAAAGTGGAAGTGTGGAGGGACTAGTAAAGCCATATTTGCAGCCATTTGTGAGCAAAGACCCGCAGGAGAACAAAGATAATGAGGTTAGTGTTTTGGGTAGACTTTTACTTGCTTCCTGGTGCAGTATATTGATTATCAAGACTTCACTTTCTCTCTTACCAGAGAGGAACATTGCATTAACCCATCAATTGTGGCTGGTCTCAATTTCATGTGTACCCTCACTGCAGTAATTGACACATATTGTACTGTACCGATAATGTTGTTTTTTTCCTTATATGACACATCCGCAATCAGTTGTGGCATGTCCACATTGGATGGGTTATAATTATAGTGTTATTCAAGCTTATGCCCTTTGCCAGGCATGTTTTTCTTATACAGCTTGCTGCTATATGTATTGTACAGGTATCCCTCGAGTTGTGAATGGGTTAGGTTCCCCAAAAAACATTCGTTGGGTGAATTTAAATACAGAGTATCACGAATGGGTAAAAAAATATTCCTAACTATTGATAAATAGTACACAACTACATGTACAACTCTAATTTACTAACTATGAAATGAAAAGAGAAGAAGAATAAAATACTGTTTAACTTTGGCACATTGCCTTAAGGGAGGGCATAACACTTGCTACCCACTCGCATCAGTCCACAGTCCCTGTTAACAACAAACAGCAATTTCACAATAATTCACATATTATTTAGGTTCACTTGGTGCTGGGTTAAGAAGACATCGAAAAAGTCTTTTTTTTTTTTTTACAGTTTTTGAGATATAATCCAGAATGCGACATCTAGCTTTACACTTAGGTATGTTAATGCCTAGCAATAACTCGCCAGGCCAACATACAGGCAATTAAAACATGTAATAATTACTTAATATGTAATATTAAGAGGACACGTCGCTACCTGGCATTCAAGTGCAATTCTCAAAACACCCTCCCGCACCCTCCATCACACACATTGCTACCTTCATCTCTTGCCCTAGAGTGAGCAGTAAACAAATGTCAACTCTCAAAGGGTGGAGATAGGTGGGATGTCGACGTTTCATTCTGGACTATATCACAAAAACTGGTTTTTAGAAAAAAACTTCTTTTTGTTCCATTCAGAATGCGACGTGTAGCTTTGATTGCCCGAGCAGGAGGTGGAGAGGGAGGTGACGTTCCGTATAAGGCTCCGGTAGCTTAGGTCCAGATTATGATTATAAACTTTTTGGAATAATTTCCAATATTAAGAACATTTACCGGAAGGTAAAATGTTAATTTACATATCCCAGTTAGGATACTCATTTTATTCTGATGAGGAAGAAGGTCCTGGTTGTGGAGATTGACTAGGTGGGGGAGGGGACCCCAGCACCACCACATGTGAAGCATCTTTCAGAGATAGATGAAGATAGCTGTTGTCCATGGCAAACAGAATCGTCATGTTTTTTAAATTTGGGTTTGCCAACAAAAGGAATAGGACTACTGCTAATTCTTTTACGTTTATGTGATTGCTCCACTTCCATTGACGGAACTCTCCTTTTGAGGAATGGTATCCCCATCCTATTTCGGATGCATCCGTGCAAACGACCAAGTCTGTTTGAGGGGGAACCCAGGGAGATGAACTGATTAGATTGTCCAAATTTTTTCACCATGACAGATGAATCTTATCTGAATAGGGAGAGAAGAAGCAATATTTCTGTTTCTGTGAAGCAACTTCTACCCCAGATGAGTTAGTTGCTTCTTCCTTTGCTTCTGGTAGACTGACTGACTGCTGATTGGTGTCCCAATGGAGACCTAACCAATCAAATTTCTGACATGGTATGAAATTTGATTTGACCGGGTTTGTCTTTAACCCTAGGTTTTGAAATAGTACTAGTGTATGTTGGGTCGCCCTTTGACAATCTTCGAAAGAGTTTTCCACTATTAGCCAATCATCTCGATAAGCAAAAGTTCTTATGCCCTCCTTCGCAAGGATCTATCTGGGGATGTTTGCCAGTTTTGTAAACACTTTTGGCGCAATTGTCAGGCCGAATGGCATCACTGTGAATTGATAAGTTACATCCCCCACTGCGAACACTAGAAACTTTCTGTATCTGGGAGCAACAGGCACGTGATGATAGGCATCTTTGAGATCCACTTTTGAGATCCAAGCATTGGGTGGAAGTAGATGCCTCAGATGATCGTAAGTGAGCATCTTGAAACTTGTTTTGGTAATGAACTTGTTCTGGACGGAAAGATCTAAAATCCATCTCAATTTGTCGCTGCCTTTCTTGGGGACTGGGAATAGGTGAGACATGAAACATTTCTCTGACTGCAACAGTTCTATCACACCTCTGTTTAACAGTTGAATTACAAATTCTGTGAGTAAGGGGGTTGGTTTTTTACCCCTATTTGGGCGCCTCAACCAAGTCCACGTGAGGCCTACTTTGATTGTCTTGTAAGCCCACATGGAAGAAATCCACCTGTTTTCCCCACCCCCTAGACGACCCAACTGTCTGGCTTCATTGGAAGGGAGTAGTTGCTCATGTGGTGGAATAAGGTCTCCTTCCACTTCTGAACAACGGCCACCCCTACTACGTCTTGAATTGTTTCCTCCTCTAAAGTTTCCTCTAGGTTGATAACTGAACCTAGCAGCTGGTCCTGTTCCCCTGTTAGACCTTCCTCTTTTAAATTTCCAAAAGGTCTTTGGACTCCTTGGAACAGTAATATGAATATCTTGCTCAACAGCTCATCTATACTTAACTAATGTTTGTTCATCAAACAAAGCAGGGGAAAGAGGGGAAGAACATAGCAATAAATAAGCACTACCACTTGAAGCATTATTAGTGGCTTGCTTCCTTAGCTGGGCTTTTAGTTTTAGGGCTTTCAACAACATTTCCAAAAATTAGTTGTACAGGGAATATGGAATCCCTTGTAAACAGCAGCAAAACATGTGTCTACTTCTGAAATATCCTCATAGTCCAGCACAAACTTAGTCAATAACTGACACATCATAATTGCAGACCAAATAACTGCTGCAGAAGCAACTGGTTTCAAATTTATTTCATAACTTATATCAGCATATTTTTGAGCCGACAAATACTGGGAAAGTTCATATAAGGATCTCTCTTTGTCATTAAATTGGAACTTCAAAAAACTAAACTTGTGAGCATTCCTATGTGTGGGAATGAATATTAAGTCTTTCAATATATTAGCCCAGACTTCATCTAATTCAGAGGTCATTTTGGGGCAAATATCAGGCCAAGAAATTGTAGTATTACCTTCTAAGAACAATGAATGATGACCCACAGTTGCTTTTCCTTCCTGTCTCTTTGTAAGTGCTGAGAGATCAGGAAGTTTAGAAACATTTTCATAAAATACCTTGAATAAGGAATCCACAGACTCAGATGTGGTTGAAAACAAAGAAGACTTGGATCTTACCAATGTTATCCATCAGCTGCGTGGGAGTCGACAGCAGTCTGTTTCCACTCATAGTAACCAACACTTTTGCCCCAGGTGGAAGAGGTTGCCAAAATGGGAACAGGATGAAGTCAGTCTCAACAAGTTCTCCTTGCTCTAGAGACTGATCACTATGATTAGAGCCAACTTCCTCATCCTGATGCTGGAATCCACTAAAATCAGACTGACTCGGTAGAGGGTCTTGTAATCTTCCTACTGCCTCATTATCTAGAATATCTAATAACCTACATTTCTTAGCAGAAGTAGGTTGGTCTAATTGGGTATTAAGTCTCTTACCTATCACCCATAATTCTAAACCTTCTGCCAACTTGGGATCTTTCCAGTGTATATGGAATAAGGCCTTGAAGAGCAAATTTCTAAATGTAAACATTTAGAAATTTGCTCTTCAAGGCTTTATTCCATCTATTTTTAATTTGTACCTGCAATAATTATTTCTTATATCCTGCAGCTTGATTAATTTTAAAAATTTGATCATAACAAACTGCACAATCCAATGGTGAAAACAGGTTGTCTGAGACACAGCTGCTATGAATTATGCAAGCCAAATGAGGATCTAACTTGGTAATCCAAGTGGCTCTACATCCTTGATAATTACATATAGTATGGTCCCCTTGGGTCCTGGGTGAAACTACTACTACTGAATTCACATCCTCTACTGACGGACATTTCCTTGTATGTAGTATGAGCTGAACTCCCAAGTCCTTGTAGCTCCTCACTCAACACTAGTTACCCAGGGACAATTCCACGGTCTCCTCCATCATCCAGCAGTCCAGACAGCTGTCCTTCATCCTCCAGTTGCACATCACTCATCTAAACTAGGAGGAGCACCATGAGTCACATTGTATCATCATAATAATACAAGGGAGATTACATTTCCTCCCAAACATAATCAATATGACTCATAACTGTGATATTTAAGTAAGTTATTTCTTTTAATACCTCTTTATTGTTATACAAGTCACCAGTTTGACAATCATAAACATCTAACACACTATATCATACACCTCTCCCTTCTCTTATCTCAAATGTCCCTCAGCTCAATGAACTTTGTTTCTTAATCAAGCTAACTTCATTTAAAGCACTTATATTTTGAGGATCACCAAGTTCTCTATTTGTTGCCAATCAGGGAGCACAGACATCATCGCTTCAATTAATTAGCTTGAGCTATAATACCTGAGTGAGCATCAAGTCACCCGGAAGGGTTGACAGTGCTGAGCTGCTACCATAGCGCTCCATTGGCTAACATCGTTCACCATTACTCTAGCAAGATGCATTGGGTTGAGAATTCCACCTTGAATGGTTCTCATATAACCCATACTGAGGATACAAGGTTCTTCCCAACGTAACTCTAGATTGCAAGTAAGACCGGAAGGTCAGCGTCCGGAAAGATCACTAAGACTAGCAGCCTCGCTAAAGTTCGCCTGGAAAGGCTGAACCCGCTACTGAGGACATGAATAAAATAGAGTTATAAAGAGAAAAAGTTAACTCTGGCCTGCATGCTGAGAGTAATTAGAAAACCCAGGGCAGAAGCCCGAAATTTTTTTTGAACGAACATGAGAAGAGGGAGAAGAATGGCACATATATCATGGTATTCATTACTTGCACGTGTATAATTGGGACAAAGAAAAAAAATTATATACAGTACAGTGGTCCCTCGGTTAACGAACACAATTCGTTCCAGAAGGTCGTTCGTTAACCGAAAGCATTGTTTCAGTGGGATTTTGGGTAATTGGTTCCAGCTCACCGAAAATTATATACAAACTACATGTGCATGTAGAAGGTTCCTGGTTGATGATG